CACACACACACACACACACACACACACATCAGCTCCACTGCCCCATAAGACCCAGTCCAAGGACCCCCACCACCAATATGTGATTAAGCCTATCAAAGGTGCCCAGAGATGTTGATCTGATGGTGCGGCAGAGGCTTTCTCAAGACTAATGTGATCTAATAAGATGTTTCTATACTGGTTAATACTTATAGCATTTTTATTTTTCCAATTCAAGAGTGCTGTTTTCTTTGCAATACAAAAGGCAGTGAAAATCATGCGAGATTTGTTTTTCTCTAAGGTGACATCATCTAAAATAGCCAATAAACAAACAGACGGAGAGAGTGGGATATAACAYTTBWWACATTTAGACAAGTCTTCACAAACCCTGCCCCAGAACCTCTGAACAGGTGGACAGAACCAGAGTGCATGAATGTAATTGTCAGGTATATTGCCTGTGCATTGTGCATCCCTCAGAATTCTGAGATTAAACTCAGACTTCTCAGGCTGGTGAGGAGAGCTTTGAAAACACTGAGCTTTCCAGTGGCACAGTACACACAGCACTGATGGTGATCATCATCAAGTTTATTTATAAAGCACATTTTAAAAACAAGTTGTCACCRAAGTGCTGAACACAAGGCAAAAATAAATATAAAAGCAAACAACATTCTTAAAAGCATAAAGGATGAAACACCAATAGTAAATACAAAACCCACAATTAATCAAGAATCTGAGAGAAGTATGTTTTTAATAGAGATTTAAAAACAGGAATGAGGCCTGTCTAACATTGCGGGGTAGATTGTTTCAAAGCTTGGGAGCCATGACTGAAAAAGCTCCATCTCCCCTCAGTTTCAGTCTGGTTTTAGGAACGACCAAATGCAGCTGATCAGAAGATCTTAGTGCCCGAGAAGGACTGTATGGTTGAAGTAGATCAGTGAGATAAGAGGGTGCAAGGCCATGTTGACATTTGTACCGTATTTTTCGGACTATAAACCGCACCGGACTATAAGCCGCACCCCCAACATAAAAAAACAGTACACCCAAAATTGTCATCAAAAAAGTGAATTCAACATCAAAACATAAAAGCAAACCTTTAGGAATTAAAGTTCGGAGGAATACGGTTCATTTAACTGACCTTATTTTAGTAGTTTTCTTTAACAGTTTCTGGTCCAACAAAAC